AGTTGTCTTCTACAAAAATGATTGACAGTAGCAGTTGGATCAGTCAACCTCAGTGTTGGTTGGCGCCGGGAAAGGAAACGTTGGATGTACAAAAATTTTATCTAAAATAAATGGCACAAAAGTTGACTGCATAATAATTGCATATCAATGAAGTTTTTTAGTCACTATAATTAAAAAAATATTTTTTTTTTCGTTTATTTATAAAAATAAAACTTTAAATTAAATGTTTAATCTGTTACCATTAATTGTTCATACAAAAGCTGTTAATTCTTCTGCTGTTGACAAACCTTTTATATATTAACATTTTTTTTTTTTTTTTTTGAAGTATCCACTTAGACAGTTCTTATCTAGATTGATCAGCTCATCAGTTGCTATTGAGATTGAATAAATATAAACTGAAAAAAAAATAAGTGGTAGTTTCTTTTTTGTCATTTTTTTTTTTTTGCATATTTTCTTTTGTTGCTTTTTTTAGATGACTGTCTATTATCGTTGATGTCTATAGTCAACAAAAATCAAAATTCTTAAAGCTGTAAATGTGACAAATAATCTGATGTTAGACGGTTACTGACAGTTATCTGTTCAAAAAAAAAAAAAAATAGTACAATATAACTGTTTTATAAATGCAATAAATAGAAAAAAAAGATTTTTGGTATTTTAAAAGCTATTATTTTGTAAATGAAAGAAAAAGGTTAAGAAAAAGTGGGTGAAGAAAATTAAACTGATAAGGTTGTAAACTTAAGAAACGTCAAACGGACAAGATGAAGTCATTGTAAGATTTGTTTGCCTTGTTATAACGTTGTCTTCCTTTTTTTTTCTTCATTCTCGACATCATTTCTTGATCTCATCATATCTATGCATGTGCACTCATCATCTGTTCAACTAAAATCAACTTTTGCTGCTATAGATACGTAATCTGGAATTAGCCAGATAAACTGACTAGGTTTAATTAGCGTACAGTCTATCTTAAACAGTCAATTAGTTGGCAGTAATGTCAACGGAACAGTGAGTCTTATTCAGTTATTCCAGTTTTGGTTTTTTACCTTTTGAGTTTACAACAACTCGTTTTTTTTTTTTTTTTTTTTTTTTTTTTTTTTT